TTAGTCCTTCCTTCCTTCCCTTTTTGTTATGATAGGGTTTCTCTGTGTAGTCTTAGCTGTTCTCCAACTTACTCCGTAGACCAGGCTGGCTTCGAACTCTCAAAGATCCTCCTGCCTCTGCCTCCCACGTGCTGGGATTAAAGGCGTGGGATAGCACGGCCCAACACTTAATGTGTTTTCCACTCAGGAAAGTGAGGTCTTCCGTAAAGGTTCAGATTTGGCTGTAGAAGTGTATGTTTGCTTAGCACAGAGCCAAGCTCACACGGTGGCTGTTCTTTGCTCCCGGACCAGGACCGAGTGATGGAAATGATTTAGTGTTTGTTGACACCAGCACAAGTGTCCACATACTCAATGAGGTCACCCGGGTTATCCGTGACTTGGTAAGAGCGTCATAAAGAAAACAATGAGCTCGGGGGTGAATTCTTCCCATGGCTCACACGGACTTTATAAAACACTGCTTTTTGATTTAGAAGAACGGGTCGCGGCAGCATCTGAGCACCTATTTAGACAAGTTTCCACCTTATCCAGCTCAGAGTTGACCTCCTTCCCTTTGCCGTTCACCTGCTCCGGCTTGCGGATGGGAGGCGCAGATGTCTGGGGTCACGGGTGACCGTCGCCCGCCATGCTGAAGCAGCGGTGCGTTCTCTAGATAGTTTCTGCTCTGCAGAGGTAGCTTGTTGAGAGTCAGGGAGGAGAGTTCCTAAGCCCAGGCTTCCGTAGCTGATGCGCTTGCTCTCTGTGTGCTGATTCTCACCCTCCAGGTGGGTCTTTGGAGTCATAGCCCCAAACGTATCCAACCGTGCTGCATCCTCAACCTAAGGAAAACAGTGTTTGCCGAGGCTGATGCGTCTGCCTGCAGAGCTGGCCTGGCTGATGCGTCTGCCTGCAGAGCTGGCCTGGCTCCCAGCCTCCTCTCCAGCATTCCACCTTCATTATTTCACTAGTCCAGACAGAATCCACGCCTTCTAGCAGAGTGCCGTCTTCTGTATTAATTATACCACTCCGTTTAATCTCCAACAATATATGGAGAATAATTAAAGGGGGTAGTTATAACTCTCTAAGCTTAATTAAGGAGAGGAGCGAGCCTTTCCTTTGACTGCCATCCAATGCCGCGGTGCCCTTACCATCAGTTTGAGGAAGCCTCAGCCTCAATGAAAATAAAACACCCAATTAACAGACCACTGATTGTGTCTAAAAGATAAAAGATAACAGAGGGGTTCACTGGCTATCAGACCTCCTGTGAAATTAAACACGGTGGCATCCCATAATTTCTATGCAGACCATCACTTGCCAGGAAATAAATGCATTTGGGAAGTGTGCACACAGGTGTACTCAGTACCTTCTGACAGACATGGTGAAAAATGTGGACATCGTTTTCCCACAGCACCGGTGCCTTCAGTTTTCATAGACAGACACACTTCAATTTGTTTGTTCCCTGCCTGTAGAGGTACACTGTTCCTTGGGGCTGGAGAGATGATGGCTCAGTGAGTAAGAGCCCTGGCTGCTCTTCCAGAGGTCCTGAGTTCAATTCCCAGCAACCACATGGTGGCTCACGACCATCTGCAATAAGATCTGGTGACCTCTTCTGGCCTGCGGGCATACGTGGAGGCAGAACATTGTATGCATAGTAAACAAATATTTAAAAATAAAAAGAAGTGCCCTATTCCTGCCCCCCCTTGTTAAGTAACTTGCATGGTCCCCAAGCCCAATTTTCTTGCCCTCACATACATTCCCTCAGCACTTCATGAAATAGTCACTGATGTATAGGCTATGTGCTTGCAGGGACTGGAGGAGGCAAAAGGCCTCACAGTTGGCACCTTGCCTGGCACTGGTGTGTGCATTCTCCACTATAGCACAGGTATCACGCCAAGAGCCTTTGGGTTTGAGTGCTGGGTATGGTAGAATATGATCTTAAGGTATGTTGCTTCTGTTTATGCTGCTTATGTTTAACTTTGGAGCTGTGATTCTTTGCCTGTCTAAAGCACCTGGTGACCTAATAAAGAGCTGAACGGCTGGCTGGCAGACATGTATCCTTAACCTCAGCACTTGGGAGGCAGAAGCAGGCAGATCTCTGTGGGTTCCAGGACAGCCAGGGCTACCCAGGGAGAACTTGTCTCAACAAAACAAAAATCTATTTCTGAGAATATGCTTTTTAACATTTGTTTTGTTTTGGTGTTGGGTGTTGGACCCAACTTCTCCTTTCTCCAGCCCTTACCCTGCCAGCAGGGTACACCTTCTGCCCCTGAGAATTTACTTTAATGAAATATAATTAAATAAATATATATATATATATAATTTAGCTGTAAAAAATAAAACACTGGTGTAGGAAACATAGCTGTCCAATTGATAAGAATAAAGTCATAACCAGGCATGGTGGCACACACCTTTAATCCCAGCACTTGGAGGAGGCAGAGGCAGGCGGATCTCTGAGTTGGAGGATAGCCTGGTCTACAGAGAGTTTCAGGACAGCCAAGGCTGCACAGAGAAACCCGTCTCAACCTCCATTCCCCACAAAGAAAACCAAACCAAAACACCCCCCCAGACCCCAAAACCAAAACAAGAATAAAGTCATGCCACAAGATCTGATATGATGGTATTTGGTCCCCAATAAATAATTTTAGAGAATAGCAGATGCTAGAGATGGGCCAAGTAAAACAATACATCAACAAAAAGATATTTATTACGTTACTGTGTAAAAATATTTACATGCTTGGGAGAAAGTGCCCTAGATGAGAAGAACACACAGGTAAGGTCTAAAGGTAGTTAATTGTGAGTCCGTAGACTGTGGTTGCTTTTAGATCATTTCTTATTTTCTTATCTGACTTCCCTGTGTTGAATATACATACTTGTATGTTAAAAGTTATGTGCTTTGTTTAAAATGTAAGGATCTGGGATCGGGCAGAGTGGCTCATACCTGTGAGCTCAGTCAGTACTCAGAGGGGAAGGGGTTTTTGAGTTTAAGCCCAACTTGGGTTACAGAAAAACAAACACAATGCCCTCCTTCCAAAAAAAAAATCTTACAATGAGGTTTTTCTAGGCAAGAACACAGGAACTGACAAAGAAAATGAATGTACACTCTCCACAGAAGAACCCCAGCTGGCTGGGTGCACAGGAGGACATGCTTGCCCTACTGAACCCAGTGATGCTACTTTGAACCCCTCAGGGTGGGTAGAAAGTAGAAGAGATCTGAGAAAGAGGGGGAAGTAGGATTGAGCCTGAGGCTAGACTGGTAGCCTATCCTAAGGGAATTTAGAGAGCTATTCTGGAGAGCACAGTCCTGGGTTTTCCTGCAGCCATTCAGCTCCCAGCAATAAGGAAGCTTACTACAGTGATGTCTGAGGTACCAGGCATTTCATCATCTGGGAGAGGAAGTAGTAAATTATGGCTGCTGGTTACCATGGATTTCAGTGTAGCTGCAGATGGAAGTAAATTTAACGACCTGTAATGTAAAGGATCCATGGTGAGGGCTGCCAGATAAAGTACAAGGCACCCAGTTAAATCTGAGCTCTGAAAAGCAACCAACACCTATAAGTACACTCTAAATATATATATTGTATCCACAATCTAGGCAGGAGTATGCCACAGTTTATGAACACCTATGCTGTGTGTACATGGAGATGTCAGCCCACTGTGACCATAGCAACACACAGCACACATCAGGTGTTGATTGCTACTGTCTTGATGGGGAGTCTAACAGAAGGGAATAGATACATATTATACAGGATGGAAGGGAATAGATACATATTATACAGGATGGGGAATAGATACATATTATACAGGATGGAAGGGAATAGATACATTTTATACAGGATGGAAGGGAATAGATACATATTAACAGATGGAAGGGGATAGATACATATTAACGGGATGGAATGGAATAGATACATATTCTATGGAATAAAAGGGAATAGATACATATTATACAGGATGGAAGGGAATAGATACATATTATACAGGATGGAAGGGGATAGATACATTTTATACAGGATGGAAGGGAATAGATACATATTATACAGAATGGAAGGGGATAGATACATTTTATACAGGATGGAAGGGAATAGATACATATTATACAGAATGGAAGGGGATAGATACATTTTATACAGGATGGAAGGGAATAGATACATATTATACAGAATGGAAGGGGATAGGCACATATTATATAAGGAGTGTAGGTAGGTTAGAGCGTATAGTGGGCAGGTGATGACAGTCAACCAAGTATGATTCACTCGACTTGCTGGAGCACAAAAATTAGTTTTATAAATACCTTTATTTGGCATGGGGGGATGCAATTCCGTGGTTTGGAATGTGTGAGGCTCTGTGTTTGAACCCTGGCACCGTCACTGCACATGGGAGACCTTCACTCTCCTCTAGTTTCTGTACTGAAGTCCTAATCACATTGGCAGAATATTTTGCCCCCCCCCAAAAGTCCCTGTGAAAGACCTGTCAAGAAAGCAAGTGGGAAGGTGAGCAGGAAAAAAAAACAAAAAACTATCCAAATCAGAAAAAGACATGATGTATATAGACTTACTCCTTTAATAAGAGGATGTGTGTAAAGTTTTTCATCAGTAGAATAAATACTATCAGCAGAAATTTGTAATTTGTCATAGCAGTAGCCAGAAAAATAGGCATTTGTCTGTTGACAAATAATGTGCTATTGAGAGAGTCCTCCTTCACGTGTGTGTGTGTGTGTGTGTGCACACGTGCACGCTGTATGTTCTGGGTGTGCATGTGTATAAGTGGGAGTGTGGTGTATATGTGTGTGCTGTGTATTCTGGTGTGTGCATGTATGTAACTGCATGCGTGCGTGCGTGTGCGTGCGTGTGTGTGTGTGTGTGTGTGTGTGTGTGTGTGTGTGTGTGTTGAGCCGGGGTCTCATGCATCAAGCTTGTCCTGTCACAATGATAACATCGAGCCACCCTATTGCAGGCAGGGACTACAGGAGTGCACCGCCCCACCTGTCTGCCCTGCTCAACCCTTTCTCTCTTTCAATGTTGTAGCTGACTACAAAGAGAGCTTCAACACCATCGGGAACATTGAAGAGATCGCGTACAATGCTGTTTCCTTCACCTGGGACGTGAATGAAGAGGCCAAGGTTAGTGAAACCTGTGGTGGCTCTTAAGACTTTTCCAAACCTTGCGCAGTAGTTTCCTAGAAGCTTGACTCATTCTGCCTTTTGGAATCCTCACACTTTTGCTATTTTGCTGGGACTTGGGGTGGGCGGGCTTCTGCCCCCCTCCCCATCCTTCAGACCATATGCTCCATTGTAGAACTTGTATCTCACTCAGAGTCTTAGTCTTCTGAGGTCTCTAGGCTTCTCTATGCCACAGCTGCATTTGGGGATGGGGGTGGGGCTCAGAAGTGGGGCTTCCAGTCATGTTTCACCACTATGACTTTGACAGCAGGTCTTGCTTGACCCTTTTCTGTTCCTCTGGATGTAAGTATGGTTAAGACTGCAGAGGCCACCAGCCGGTGGTGGTGCATGCCTTTAATCCCAGCGCTCAGGAGGCAGAGGCAGGCAGATCTCAGGAGTTCGAGGCCAGGCTGGTCTACAGAGTGAGTTCCAGGACAGGCTCCAATCTGTCTCAAAACCACAAACAAACAAACAAACAAACAAACAAAAGGCTGCAGAGGCCAATAACATCCCTGACAAACAGGGGCCAAGGATGGATGTTGGGGTGCATGGATGGATAAGAACGTGTTTGCAGCTGGGCGTTGGTGGCGCATGCCTTTAATCCCAGCACTCAGGAGGCAGAGGCAGGCGGATCTCAGGAGTTCGAGGCCAGGCTGGTCTACAGAGTGAGTTCCAGGACAGCCTCCAAAACAATACAGAGAAACCCTGTCTCGAAAAACCAAAACAAACAAACAAACAAACAAGAACGTGTTTGCACAGATAACCCTGTTTGCTCTCAGCCACACGTCTGTTTTGAAGGCCCCAAGGCCCATTCTGGGTCTCAGCTTCTTCTGGTTCCCAGGCCTCGTTTTGCACCTAAAGGAGTGTTTCAGATAAAAGTAAGCTTGTTTTCTGCTTCAGCTGTGTACCTCCTGGGTGAGCATTGGAAGACCTTGTCTGCAGTCTCAGGAGGAGGTCAATGTAAACAAGGCTGTCAATGGCTCATTGTCCTCCCTGGGAAGGTTGGGTGAGAGAGGAAACTGGCTTGGGGAGCTAGTGAGCAGGCTTTCCAGAAGAAAGGTGAATTGCTCAGTGTCCCATTCCACTCATGTATAAAACAACGCTGGTGAAACTGGCGTTAGGCTCAGAAAGGTGACCCGGAGTGGGCACAAGGTGACAGATCACCAGTGTGGCCTGGAGACTGAGTGTCCCGGAGAAGGGAACAGACCTTGTTACAGGATGCCAGATCCAGCCTCACACAGACCTGCAGGCTGGCGTGTGTCTCTGGCATGCCTGCACTCACCGTGTTCTCTTGGCTGCCTATGACTCATCCCGCTCTGTCCCCACTCCCCAGATTGTCACTGCTCGCAGCTGTCTGACTGGGCTCTTCATGCTAGACTACTACACAAGGGCGGGCTGTGTAGTGCTTGGGTGTATTGCAATCAGCACTTCCAAATGCCTCTGCCGCACTCAACACCCTGCTGGGATATGGGTGCCGGCCATCCCACCAGGGAGCCAAACAACATTGTGACCGGGAAGAGTTCACACCCACTTTACACCCACTGGGAAGAAAATGGGGCTCCACCACAGGTGTGTGACAGCTAGTGCAAGCTGTCAATCCACATTTCCAGTGTGTCCTGGCCTGTGGTGAAGTGTTAAAACTATGATCATTAAGTATGGACCTTTGAAAGAGGGGAATGTGGGAATCAGTGTAATGTGGGTAGTTGATTTGGGGTTTAGCTGACCTTCCAGCCAGCTCATTCCGTACAACTCACGTGCTGTATACAAGTGCCCACTTTCTTGTCTAAATGTGTGGGAGCATGTGTGTGATGGGTGTGTACATGTATGTCTGGGTGTACACATGTGTGCATGTGTATCTGTGTGGGTAGGTGTGCACATATGGACACATGTGGGCATGAGTATCTGTGTGTGTGTGTGGGGGTGGGTATGAACATATGGACACGTGTGTGTGTGTGTGTGCGTGCGCGCGCGCGCGCGTATGTGCACACACCGATCTTCTTACACACGTTGGCAACATGCAATTGCTCTGAGGCAATATTCCATGCTACTTCCTGTAGCGGAGTTTATTTCCCTGATATCTGTCTTTAGTGGCTGTCATTCTCTGTTAACTTATAAGCAAGTTTTAAAAGCTGCCACGGAAGGGCATTTGAAGACAAGCACCGAACGTCAACCATGGGCCTGAGGGTCTGCAAGGTTGGGAGTGGGTTCTCATGGAGCGGCCACTCGCTATTGTTTTCCTAGTTCTCACTTTCTCTGTGCAGCCGTAGTATACATTTAAATTTTTATGCACGGGGCACCCCCCTGGGTCCAGGTCTCCTGTGGCTCCCAGTGTCACGGAGGCAACAGCACAATGAAATTCAAAATGGTTCTCTCTGCTGTGTGTCAAAGGGCTTTCCCACTGTACCTCCCGCTCGGCGCCTCCCCCAGAGTTTTATTTATGTATTTAGTGTGTGCGCCTGTGTGTCCCTGTGGTACTGGGGATCGAACCCAGGGCCTCCGATGTGCAAGGCTCTGCTTCTGAGTGCCTTGCCCAGGCCCTCTCTTTCGCCCCCTGCTGGCTGCTTCTGGGGCTGCCTCACGTGCTACATCCATCAGTCCTCTAGAACAAGTAGAGAAAGGAGAGGACAGCCACACCGAAGCCTTCAGCTTCCTTGACTTATGGTAGCCAGGGAGGTACTCGGGTTCTCATCCAGGTTGACCCCAGACTCCCAGCCTGGCAGCCTGGTTCAGGGGAGCCTGCCAGGACTCACCTCTCAGAGCCGGTGTTTCCGGTTGGACCACAGAGGTTTTCTGCTAGGTGACCCAGCAGGCCAAACGGTCTTGGACAGGACCTGTTTCCCCTCAGTGTCTGCAGTCTGGAGGACCACGTGTCTACATGGTGGGGCTCTGAGCGGAAGCTGGAGGGAGCGAGCCCACATCAGGCAGCACACCCCTGCAATGAGAATCCGACTCAGGACCTAGACCTCACACCGGATTTGCCAGCAATTGTCTTTATTTTTCCTTGGGTCAGGGGGTGGTTTTCAGACAGGGTTTCTCCGTGTAGCCCAGGCTGGCTGTGGACTCACAGCGATCCTCCTGCCTCAGCCTTCCATATGTTGGTATTCCCGGCATTGTGACAAGCCCAGCTTCCAGCCCCTGACTCCCCCTTCCCCGGCTTTAGTTTGACCAGTTGGGAAACGGTGGGGAGTGGGGGCGTGGGGGCGAGCATGGCCGCAGATGCCTGAGGTCCCGCCCAGAGGCTTCTAGTGGGGGAGCCGTGCCACACTCTCTCAGGGGACTCCGACTCCCAGTTTTTCTTTGTTGCCAAATGCTGGTAACTTAAAAAGCAGGTTTGCCAAGCACAGATCTCCAAGAGGCTGACTTCCCACACAAGTCTGTTGAGTTGTGAAGAGCCATGATGACGGTCCCCAGTGGTGACGCCATCACCCACACAGGGCAGCTCTAACTGCAGTCCTTTCCCAGGTTTCCAGGGAGAGTCTTGGAGTCCCCTCCCCAACCCTTTTTATTAGTGCTGCTCTCTGTTCACAGGGATTTCGAGATTAACCCGCTAGAGAAGCCTCGTGGTGACCACACAGAACGCGAGTGTTAGGGCGCTGCTGATTGCCCTGTGCTGGTGCTGTGGACGACACTGTCCTCTTTGTTAGGATAAAGATCGAGGGGGGACCTTGGGTGGGGAGCCTTGGTGGATTCCATGGCAGGCGAAGGTGACCCAGGCGGAGTGACAAACAGGCCAGGCAGACAGAGCTTGGTGAGAAGTTTTATTAGAAAGGGGGGGGGGGAGAAAAGAGGTAAAGAGACACAGAGACAGAGAGAGGACAGAAGAGGAGAGACAGGAAAAGTCCTGTCTGCCCCAGGGGGACAGCCGGGAGGAGAGGAGCAGGAAAGAGAACAGAGAGAAGAGCTGGAAAGAGAGCCTAAGTGGGCGGGGTCTGTCTTTTAAAGGGTCCTTTGCACCTGCGTGCAGTCTGTGCAGTCATGGAACCCTGGGCTGACCAGGGCACTGCCTGAGTGCACTCTGCCAGGTGACAGGGGCGGACTGGTGTAACGCCTGAGTCCTTACACTCTTTGTGCCTTATTGCCATACCAGGAGACCAACCTCCACCTCTGCACCCCATCTCCATGTCTGCCCTTTCCTACATTCTCTCAAACGTTAGGATGAAGGTGGTTCCCCACCCTCTGAGTCTTTTAAAAAAATTCTCTCTAGTCAGTGTTTTGGAAGGATCTTGATTCAGTAAAAACACCTCACTACCATCGTAGAGGTGAGTCTTACTCTCATCCTTCTTTAGAAAATTTTAAATTATTATTATTGCATTTCTATGTGTGTCAACGTGGGCAGGCAGGAGCCAGGTCACGCTTGTAGAGGTCGGAGGTCAGCTTTCCAGAGTTGGTTCCCTTGTACCTTACTTTGAGCCAGGCCCTCCCTGCCTTCCTTCATGCTCTAGACCAAGAGGACATTAACTTCCGGGCAATTCTCCTGTCCCGGCCTCCTGCCCCCCCCCAAGCATGCTGGGATTGCAGATGCACCTGTCTTCTTAGGTAGGCTCTGAGGATGGGTCTCAGACGGTCAAGCTTGTGTGGCAGGCACTTTACCCACCGAGCCTCCCCCCCCCCACAGTCTTTAAAGAAAAGTCTAGAATAACTTTGTAATGTGAGGCTGGCACTGTGGGATTCTCTTCATGGCTCCTGAGCCCAGCATCTCTGCTTACCAGGGTAGAACAAGACCTCTTTTGGTGATGTCTGTCCTGCTTGTCCAGACACCGCCCTGTGGCTGCAGTAGAAGACTTGGAGTATCCCACCCTCCCCTTTGTCCTCAGATCACCAGTGGACTGAGAGAGACCCCCTCGGGAAGGAAGTCATTTTAGAGAGGTCGGGGGCACATCTAGGGTGAGACTGGAGGTGTAGGACATGAACAACACCTCTGCGCATCTTAGATTCTGACTGGCACCCCAGCACTGTAAGGT